GCCTCATTTGGGGATGAATCCCTGAGGACTGCTTCCTAACCATATATGACAAATGGATGTAACTCACATTATTGAGTTTTGAAAATTGAGATATGTGCATGTGACAATTGATACCTACTCAGGATTCATAATGGCCACAGCACAAACTGGGGAAGCTGCCAAGCATGTAATTACTCATTGCTTAAAATGCTTTTCATGCATGGGAACCCCAAAGGTAATTAAGATGGACAATGGATCCGGATATGTTAACAAAGCTTTTCAAAGATTTTGTACTCAATGGAATATTGTTCATAAGACTGGTATTCCATATAATCCTCAAGGACAAGGAATTGTGGAGCATGCACATAGCTCCTTAAAAACACAACTCCAAAAAATAAAGACAGGGGAGTTGTATCCTCAGACGCCACACAATGCCTTAAATCATGCATTGTTTACGCTAAACTTTCTAAATACAGATGTCCATGAGTGATCAGCCGTGGATAGATTGTGGCATAATGGTACAAAAACTACATTTGCTAAAGCAAAATGGAAGGATCCCTGCACTGGGATTTGGAAATGACCCGATCCCATCCTAATATGGGGTCTAGGGCATGTCTGTGTTTTCTCACAGGATGAAAATCAAGCCAGATGGCTTCCAGAGCCACTAATTCGATGCACTCAGTAGAAGGACAATGGACCTGAGGACAGCTTAGCTGACAACTGCGCCACAGAAGGGACAGAAAGAGAAGAGCTCCAGGAGGAATCTGGTAACCTAGCCCACAGACAGGAGCCTGATCTGGACCTGCAACTGGCATCACTGCAGGGAGACTTCAGACAAAAAGATCCTGCTGAGATGAGCTGACTGTGGTGTCTGCAGCTGGCTGTGGTGTGAAACCAGTTGCTTCAGATCTAAGATACAAACTAAACATTTGAGTGTTCTCGGTTTATGGGACACGGAACTCATATTAAATAAAATATTAAACCTAAGAACTAAGATCTAAGCCTTCCCCTCAGGGAAAGAAAGATGCAAAATAAAGTATGACTAAAACCCCTCTTCACTTAACAAGGGGACAGACTGAGGTTTTAACAGCTACACAGAGACTGAAAATGAGATTTAATAACAGCAAATGGTATTATGCTCTTAACGGTAATGACCTGATATTTACAGCTGCATATAAGGTGATGGGAAAAATCTGGTAATGACCAATGGTGCTAAATACATCGGTAATGACCGAAAAGAATATGAAATTATGGTAAAGAAAAAATATGAAATGAATAATTGGAGAGCTGGTTTTGACCAGCTAAGTATGAAGTGAATATTAGGAGATCTGTTTTTGACCAGCTAAATATGAAATTATGAATAATTGGAGAGCTGGTTTTGACTGGCTAAATATATAATTATGATATGAAAAATTGGAAGATCGGTATTGACCGATGATGTGGAAAAATCATGATTGCTGGTAATGACCAACTAGATATGAAATTATGAAAATTGGAGAGCTGGTTTTGACCGGCTAAAATACGAAATTATGATATGAAAAATCTGAAGATCAGTATTGACCGATGATGTGGAAAAATCATGATTGTGGAATTGTTGCAATTGACAGTTGGCTGAAAGAGAGGTTGTGAAGATGAATGTTGAGAGTTGATACGTATGCTGAGAATGTTAGCTCTGAATGATGTTCGGTACCAGCAGAAGAAACATTTTCAACTCAGGTGATTCTACTCTTCTTTAAGATAGGAGAATATACTTCCCACAGGACAGGGAACCCTGATTGCTTTTCAGGCTGAGTGGGGGGGACTTAATTGGGGGAGGGGGAGGGAAATGGGAGGCGGTGGCGGGGAAGAGACAGAAATCTTTAATAAATAAATAAATAAATTTAAAAAAAAAGTAAAAAGAAAAGAAAACAAAACAAAACAAAAAACAATAAAAAAAGATAGGAGAATATAACCTTTGGGAGCATAATTATTCATAAAGCATTATGATACATCCTGACAAAAGATATGGCTGATACACAGGGCCTGAAAAGTATATTTCTCTCCACTAATCTCTTCTCTTTACAGAGGTTGGAAGTCAACTGAAGCTCCTTCTCCCCAGATGCCTAAGACAACTGAAGCTCCTTCTCCCCAGATGCCTAAGATGCTCGTGTATATGATGCCTGTTCCAAAGACGGGAAAATTTGGGTAAATCAAGAGGACTTTGCCTAAACCAGGCGCGACCCATCTGTCCTGTTGCAACAAGCACAGGGTTTAGTAAAATTAATAAGAGAGAGTGGATTGTAGGCCCATATTTCTGTATGGCACAAGAGCCATAAGCCTGCTCTGAGGTGGTCACGAACTCTGCAGACAAGCTGTCTCTGTTTAAGAATAGCCAGGATGTGCTGCTCCTAGTTTCTTTTGTTATAAAAGTAGATTACCTGAGAAGAGATGTTGGCTGAAGCTGATGACTTAAGAGTTAAGAGGTTTGGTGCTCCCTCCTGCCACGGACCGGCTCAGGGGAGCCACTTAGACCGTGGGAGAAGCAGGGTCCTGGTAACAGGAAGGCACAAGTTCGGCGAATGACAGACAGACAGACAGAACACACAAGAGAGTAGTTGGAATCTGCTGCGATTTTACTGAATTTATGTTTTCATTATATAGTATTCAAACAAAGAACAAATCAGAAGGTCATATATCATTAGTTGGCACAGTATGAAAGCTTCTTTTAGTCACATCAGCAATATTTAAGAAAAGTACATTATCAGGAACAGGTTTTAGACATAAAACATCCTTAGAAGAGGAAATCTTGTCCTTGAGAACATAAACCTCAGGCAAGTGGTTTCATCTTATGAATAGAAAGTTTCTGTCTTATTATCGCTATCATGGCCCTTCCTCTTCCTAACCCTTTATTTCATCTAGTGACCAAATATGCCTAATCAGTTCTCTGCACCTGTTGAACTATACTTTTTAGTACCTTCTTATGCAGCAGACATCATGGGGGTTGGGGTCTAGCAAGCCTATCCATAAAGTTTAAAGTATAATATAACAGTCTTTGTCCATCAACATTAACCCATCTATTCCCTTGCTCATCATACACCCTGTGTATGACAAAGGCTCTGCTGTAGTCTTATACATTCCCATACTGTGCTTCCCTATCCCGCATAGCCAGCTAATCGAGAAACCCGTCTATGCCTCAGCTGTGGCTAATACCAGGCTGTCTGCCATTGACCTCCAGGAAGCCTAGTCCCATGGGACACGTAGCTCCCGTCCGGCATAATGACATATGTCATGTCACACAGACGACACTGGAGTTGGTGTGGCACCCTCCCTTTGAAATTTGGAGTTGGTGTGGCACCCTCCCTTTGAAAATGTCTTATAGAGATGCTAATTCATGGCCTACGTGACTGCTAGCATACAGGCAGATGCGGATGTGACTTGAGCCCATTCACCTGGTTGCCAGGGAGACAGCCTAATGTGTTTTCCCGCTCAGTTGATGTGATGATATATAAGGTGTTGGGAGAATAAAGGAGCAATCTTGTCCTTCCATGATGACTGTCTAAGCTATGTCTGATTTATTCCTCATAACTCCATTCCAGTCCAGTTAGGGAATCTGTATTGGACCCACACGGGCTCCAACAGATTATAAAGGTGGAGAAGGGGTTGGAGAAATGGCTCAGTGGATAAGAGTGCTGGCTGATCTTCCAGAAGGTCTGAGTTCAATTACCAGCAACCACATGGTGATTCATAGCCATCTTTAATGGAATCTGATGCCCTCTTCTGGTATGCAGGTGTACATGCAAAGTACTATTATATTTTTTAAAAATTAATAAGTTAACTAAAAATTAAAACATGTGCTAAGCCGGGCGGTGGTGGCGCACGCCTTTAATCCCAGCACTCGGGAGGCAGAGGTAGGCGGATCTCTGTGAGTTCGAGACCAGCCTGGTCTACAAGAGCTAGTTCTAGGACAGGCTCCAAAACCAAGAGAAACCCTGTCTCGAAAAACCAAAAAAAGAAAAAAGAAAAAAAAAACATGTGCTAAGAAGTAAAAGGAAGGAATATTAGGAGCTATGAAGATATTCATCATCGAGATTGCAGGATGAGTTCATAAAACTCATTTTATACTTTAACTACACACAGCACAGGGAACATCCATTCAACCTGAAGTGAACTTTAATAAAAGAAAAGGTTTAGTACAAACAGAATGATTAAAAGCACAAAAAAATATGGATTCCCTCTCTACTGAAACACAAGAAAGTTTGGGAAATGCACTATTGTCCTACCCTCTTTGGGAGAGAGGCCTACTTTGAAGGACACAGAACATCATGGGCAATAGATATTGGCTTTGAGTCCCAGGTTACATACATGGACCAGCATCTCTTTATTTTCTCCTCGTTCTGGCCCACATAGTCCAGGGAATCCAGTTCATTTGAATATCTGCTATTGCTCTGAGTATCAAAAGAAACAACCAGGGAAGGCCTGAGACTGTGTGTGCACCCTCACCTCTCACAGCTACAGTGAGCAGAGCATTCTAGAAGCACACTTAGATGCTGATATTCTTGGATTTGCTGCCCTCCGCCTTTATTAATCAAAACCAGAGTATGAATGTATTTGTGGCAGACTGTAATGGGCTTACTCCTTGTCTGCTATCCTCCAGAGATAACATATGTGGTAGAACATGCCAGGGTTCTCTAAGTATTGAATAACCTGATTCATGCTGACTTTTAGCGGTGGGATAGCTTCAGCCATAAGTACCAATAGTGATGTAACTGTGTAAAGGGCTTTGTCTGGATTAAAAGTGCAATGGAGCTACTGATGCTCTCACATACCTGTCACCCACAGCTCACGTCTCCAGTGTGGATGTCCAGATGGCTGTGAGCCTGTGGTTGATGGCTGTATCACGAAGGCTCCCTTCAGACTTATCTCTGCTATTACTCATTAAACTGGCTAATGCAGAGGGGAGGTTCCTGGTACCAATCACAAGCCAGCCCTGACACACAACCACCCTCACTCTTTTCTTTCCAGAGCTAGCCCTCCTCCAGGGCTGTCTTGATAGACCTGGGGTCACATCTGCCCCTTCAGTCACCCAGGCTTGTTCCTCCAGCTGGACAAGTACTTGAATCCTGGAAGGCACAGGTCCTATTCAGAGGATAATGAAGGTAAAGTAGACAGTACAGAACAGGTGACCCTGCTCCTACATAGCGTTAGACAGGAAACCAGCAATGAGAAGGCATCTTTAAAGGCTGGGGATGCAGCTCAGCAGTAGAACACTTGCCTAGCATGTACTGGAGAGAGAGAAAATGAGGGAGAGCCCATTGGTCTCTGAAATCAGGTAAGACAAAAATGTCAGCAGGCGGGGAGTGGCAGATGCGGGCAGGAGGAACAGTTTCAGTCAGTGGTTCTGCCAGGGTGAAGGAAGAACTGCCTGGTGGATCTCTGGGTCTTTGAAGACTCCTATCCAGAGTAGCTGAATAAGATAAGCAAATACTCAGCCCATTTGCCACCCACAGCACCTATGCAAGAAAACCAAGAAGGAAGTAGGATTTACAGATGACCATGAGAAGCAGAGTAGCTCCTGGGAAAAAGGGAAAGAGCCCAGGCCAGGAGGTGGAGGAAGTGCAGAGAATTGACCCAGTCTGGCTGCAAGGCAAAGTTATCCCCTCTGTGTCTCATCCAGAAGCTTCCATTCGTTCTAGGAAAGTCCAGGGTCACATCCTGAAAGCTCACACTGCCCTACTGTGGTGATGAGAGAAATTCCCTTAAACAGAATCTCTACTCTCGGTTTATCCAACAACTGCAAAGCAGCTACCTATGCCACTGTGACGATGCATACCCTCGTAGGAGAAGAGAAGGTGGGGGCCAGAGCTGCCCTAACTTCCTTCTCTCATTGGTCATCCTGTCGCCACTGGAGCAGATAAATACCATCTAAACAGTGGGTATGATATGAAGGTCTCAGCCTACTGCTTGACTGTCTACATTCCACAATCTGCTTGCCCTTACCTGCACAAATCCAGGCTTCCTTTCCTCTCCTGGTTCTGGGAATAACAGTTTACACCCCCTTCAAGAACATCACTCTGTTGATCAACTCTTTCCCACTTTTTTTCATCTCCTTTGATACACTACCCTGCGGCTCACACCTAAGGTTAAGGCATCCTGCACACATGGCCTGTGTAACTTGGATGCCATCCTGTATCAGACCCGTCCTGGTGCACAGTAGTTGGGGGAACTTTGCCTTGCTCACAGGCTGTCCCCCATTATCTCAGCCATCAAAATCCTGCTTTGCTGGTCTTGTAGTTATCCCTAACCCTCTCATTTACCCACCAGCCCAAGTGAAGATTTCCAGGACCCAGCAGGGTTGCCACAAAAGTGTGGGGCGTGGTCACAGATACAGGTCCCTGCCTCACTGTCACCTTTACTATTCTGCTTTCCTACCCATCTCATAGCCAGTCTCTTGGCAGCGTTGGTCCCCTGCCAATGACAGTTCTACTCCATGAACATGACTTCACCTTGTCTGTCTTTGTGATGCCCATCTCAGTCTGAGAGATGAGTTCAGGGTTCCTAATCCAATGGGGGAGGATATCCCTTGCTCCCAGCAATGCTGCCACGGTCCACATTATTCCTTTCCTAAATAGAACTAAATTCTACTTCTGTCTACATATAGGTCACCAAAATAGGAGTCTCCAGTCAGACATTCTGTCCTGAACTCTGGACATACACTCAATGCCTTCACACAGAGTTCTCTAGACCAGTTCAGAAATTAACACGCCCCAAATCTACTTCTTTTCTCTTTACTTTTCTTACTTTTTTCCCTTTTCTTACCCCCCTCTTTCCCCATCACCCTCTGTAGACAAGGCTGGTCTCATGTCTCAAATTCAGAAGTTCGCATGTTTCTGCCTCACTAGCTCTGGGATTAAAAGGTGTGCATCACCAGGGCACGGCCCAAACCTATCTCTTAACATTACTTTCAATAAATTATCCAGCCAACCTTTCCACTTCACCTGACAGCATTTCCTTCCTTCCATTGACTTAAGACTCCTTTTCGTTTGTAGGTATAAAAGAGTGGAGTTGGCTCGGTGGTTAAGAGTTTGGTTCCTCTTTCAGGGGCTCCATTTCGATTCCCAGCACTCACATGGCAGCCCACAATCGTCCATAACTTCAGTCTCCAGGAACATAAGCCTTTTTCCGGTTTCCCGAGGCGCTCAACGTTACCTGCACAGACATACATTCGAGCTAAACACACACACATACACAAATAATAATCTCTAGCTCTCCATGGCACCAGCGCCCTCAGAATCAAAGTCCCTGGGCTCAACCTCTGCGTCTCTATCTCTTCCGAAGCTCATTTCCATGCCTCTCAACACGTGGGTCTCTCTGTAGAGAAAACTTCTGGAGCCTCCCTTGCACTGGGTGACAGCCTGGGACCTCCCTCAAACAGGCGGCCCAGTCCATGCCGCCTGGTGAGGCTGAAAAGACCTGGGCAGGGGCTGCCTCTGACCTCAGATGAGCACAGGGCGGTCTGCAAGCTCCGCCTGGGTCCACAGCACCATCCCTGGCCGAGCCAGGGCGGCCGTCACCTGCAGACTCGGAGCTGAGCGAAGCCGCTCGGGCTGAGACCCAGCAAAGTTCCGCTGGCCCGTGCTGTCCAGTACTGGTGTCATCTAGGTGGTGTATTCTCGAGTCTCCTTGAGTCTCTGAGTTACCTGACCTGAGGAGGCAGCACAAACTCAAACTCTCAGATTGCCTAAACAGATACCTGTTAGGAGAGGCGCCGGAAGTGCCTCCTAGGACGCAAAGTGCTGAGCCTTCTGGGTAATGTAGTATCCTCAAGCCATGACCCTCTTCTTGGAAGAACACCCTAAAGTTGGAACATGGGTATGAACAGACACTTGGCAAGCAGCCTCGCTGGTGGCCGGATGTCCTGGTCTAGCTCCTGCAACAAGGGATGTCGTACCGTGATTGCCGTGGAAAAGACTGTAGCCAATCACAGAAGTGTAGAAAGTCCTTATTTCAGATATTCTCCAAAGCTACAAAATCAGATTACACAGGCAACCAAGATTGTGTTCACCTGATAACATTGGCATTAATAGTATTCCCTTATTTCTATTCAGATGTGTGTGAACTGACCCTTTACAAAGTCAGTTGTGGGGCTGGGGAGATGGCTCAACAGGTAAAGGCATTTGCTCCCTACCCTGGCAACCGGATTTCAAGCCCCGGGACCTGCAAGGCAAAAGAGCACTTTGACCTTAACACACACACACACACACACACACACACACACACACACACTATTACTTATCCCCTTTCCCCAAACAAATATAATAACAAAGTAAGTCATGGTCCCAGAAGCCTGAGACAGCGCCCACATCCCAGCTGTAGTCAGGTTTTATAGATGGTTCCAGACGCCCAGAGGAGCATTTTAACTTACACACACGATACATACACAATTGGCCATTGACCCAAGTAGTGGGAAGAAGGAAGAGATTTTGCTGTCTGGAGCCTGTGTGATCCTCAGCAGACACTCGGCCTCTCTGGCCCTTCACTGTTCCATGTTTCTGGGGAATTCATTCCAGGATGTCATGTATGTGCCCTATGGACCATGGTCCATGAGAGTGACAGACACTCTGGTGACTGTGGTCTCCTACATCCCCTAATGTGTTCTGCAGGGGCATTTTGGCAGCGCTGCAATTCAGCAGGAACAGTTCAAAGTCCAACTGGTTGTCCTTGATATGTCCCAACTGACTCAATGCCCAATCTCAAAACCAAACGGTGCAGGCTCCCCTGTGAATTATAAGGCTTTTATTGTTGGAACCCTGTTTTTAGACACCTGGAGAGTAGGGGTAGGGCTTGCCGCATCTATGCAGGTTTTCTGGCAAAGATGGAATCATCAACAGAGAAGGTTAGCGTCTATTTTCGCCGGCAAAGAGAAAGGTGGCAAAGCCTCAGAGGTGAGGGAGATCTCAGCAGTCATACACGGGACACCACTTGGGAGGGACCTGCACTCTGTCTGCAACAGCTCCTGGGTCTGACTTGGCCCAGGGAGTCTCCACTCCATTCTGTCTCCAGCACACCACACCAGGGTGAGCCTTGTAAACAGCCTCCAATCCAGCCTGATGGGAAGAGCCACCTGCCCTCGGGACACCATGGGCACATGTGGGGCAGAATGGAGAAGCAGCTGGGGAGGGCCTGGCAGGACTTCAGGTGAGCCTGCGGGCAGCTGTGGCCCCACAATGAACTGATCCCGGTCACATGATGACCTCAGAGACATGCAGCTGGGGCGGTGACAATCCTGACAGTTCTAAGGACAAGATGGGATTCAATTAGATTCTGCAGCTGTGTGTCCCAGGCTTGGATCTCTATCGGAGATCCAGGGGACAAGAAAAAAGATGAGTGTTTGGGGGTGCGGTGGTAGACTTGAAAAGTTAGGATAATAGATCTGGGCTGGAGAAGGGGTGCCAGGCACCGATGTAGCTGGACTTGGGAGGCGGGCCAGAAAGCCTGATGAAGGCCAACGGTACCATGGGGACGGGGGTCCTGGAGGTCTGGTCTGGCTTGACTGAGCTGTACAGCCAGAGTCCTTCCTGCCCCTTCCTCCTGACATCTTTCTGGATTCACAGAGGAGCTGCAGTGTTGGGGAGAGACACACACTCCATTCCTTAGCTGTGGTGAGCAGGTGGGCACACAGGCTCTGATCCAGACACACAGAGAACTCACCACCAAACTCTGCACATTTTCCTTGTCTTCCTCTGTCATCTTGTTATCAGCACACATCTTCAGATTTTGAAGAACTTCCACTGTGGCAGATTCGTTCCTGTACTGGCTCACGAATTCCACATAGTCAGACACAGATGAGCCAAGAAAAAGAGCAAGCTCCTCCTTCAAATCTGGGCAAAAGCCACAATCTAGAATACAAAGGTGATCCTTCTTTGAAAACCTTGCATCAGAACACAGATGTCCTTCCTGGGGAGTGAGGCTGTGAGAGCCCTGGAGACCCTGCATCCCTGACACCCACACCATAGTACCCAGTTCCCTGAGGTCACCCACACCCTAGTACCTACTTCCCCCTGAAGTCAGAAGCAGGGCAGCCCCAAGCAACAGGAGAGCACCAGTGAGCTTCATGGTAATGGCGGCAGGTGCTCCTACCCACCTCGGGCCCCTTTTTGTAACTGCCCTGGGCTGCTCAGGGGGCAGGGAGGGGCTGGGTCTGAGCTCTCCAGGCCCCTCCCTGAACACTGTTTGAACCTCCCTTGGGGGGGATATGTGTGTTTTGGCAAGAGGATAAGATCCTGGTCAACAAGTAGCCCTGACTCAGCCTGGTCGCTTTCTTACTGCTGTGCTTAAGGTCACATGTCATGTGAAGACCAAGGAAGTGATGAGTAAGGAGAGGGCCAGGTCCCTTTATCAGGCCTCCAGAGTGAGGTCTCTGTCACCCCGTCACCCTGGGGAACTTGTTGTTTATTTACAAGCTCAAGGGGTCATGTGTATGTCTGGCCAGTTCAGAGACCACGGACATCTTGGGGACCCTGCTCTGACTTTCTGTCACTGCCCCCATCTTTCACTTGCTTCACGGCTCCACTGAAGCTGACTCTAACCCTGAAGTCCTCCTGCTGTCGAAGTCGTCCTTCAACTCCATCTTTCTGTTGTTGTTATTCTGTTTGTTTTGCTTGCTGTGTTTTATGTTAGGTCTCTATACATAGTTCTGGCTGTCCTGGAACTCAATCTGTAGACAGGCTGATATTAAACTTGCAGAGATTCATCTGCCTCTGCCTCCCAAGTACTGGGATAAAAATATGCAGTATCCAGCTAAACTTGACCTCTTACACTCTTTACTGATGTTTCTGTTTTTTGTTTTTGTTTTTTTTTTTTTTTTTTTTTTGCAGACAGGTTCTTACCCAGCTTCATCTTGAGCTCATAACCGGGAAAATGGAGTGTGTGTGTGGTATGTCTATGTATGGCGAATTCTCCTTTCCCTGGGCCTGGTAGGAAGCATTGTTAATATTCATTAACAACTGCCTGGTGTGGTGTTTAATACTTTCAATCCTAACATTATGGAGCCAGAGGCAGTTGAACCAGTGTGAGTTGGAGGTCAGCCTGGTCCCAACAGGGAGTTCCAAGCCAGCAGGAAATACACTATAAGTTCATACTGCAAGTGGCTCATGGTCATTTTCTGAATGGACAGTGATGAAGAAGGAGGCAGTAGGCAGTGGGGCAAAGGCTGAGGCAGGAGAATGACAGTTGAGTGGTCATGAGGCAAGCAGCTTGATGTGTGCAGGCTGAAGCATTGGACAGGGACAGGGCAGGAAAGGAAAGGTCACAGCAAGAGTGCAGGGAGCAGAGTCTGAGGAAGATCAAAGGGGACAGACCCACAGGACAGAAACTTCAGGACCTGTTTGACAAAGAGGTCCAGGGAGCTGTGGCGTCTTTAGACACAAGAGCCTCACAAGGGCCAAGAGCTACAGCACTGCTGAGTGCCAAGGAGGTCTGACTTCCTACCCATGAGGCTTTGGGTCCAATGCTGGTGTGAGGCCTGTTCACTAGAGGGTTCCTCCTGCTGCTGCTCCCACCTGCCAGCTGCTTCTGCTCCTGCTGGGACACATGGAGGGCAATGAAAGCTGCACAATGCAGCAGCTGGAGAGTGCCCCTTCCTGCACCCATTTCTACCTTTGTGAGCAAAGGGATCCCGGACAGTTAACTCGGGACACACCTGCCTCAGCCTCCCACAAGCAAACGGGGATTCCATGTGGGAAGCACCAGTCTTCCCCTCATGTCTCTGGACTCTGCCAGTCCCCTGACCACTCTGTGCCTGGAAACCAGAACTCCATTACCCTGGTCTGTTTGTCATCCAGAGCATCTCTGTACCAGGTACGGCACCACTTCCCCATAAGCATGACCCCAGGGAGAACCCGGCCTCCAAATGCTCTGCCCTCATGTCTGATGTGCTTGCCCTTCACCTGGCTGGGAGATTCGATGCTTCATTCCCCACACTGCATCCAAAACACCAAATCAGAAGGGCAGCCTGCTATGGCGTCCACATGGCTAGGCCACACCAAACCCCACCTTGCGCCCTGGTCCCAGTGTGGCAGGTGAGAGGCAGTGCACGGTGTGTGGCTGTAAAGCATGTGCAGCCTCTGCTCTCCTACTGTCTTCTCCCAGCCCCACCTTCCCCACCCCTCGCTGCCCTTCTGCTCTGCACCAGGAGCTCAGACAGGGCAAGGCACTGGGTGGATGTGGCTGCTCTGTCTTGGACTTTCAAGACTCCAGACCATGAACCAAGTTAACTTCTTTCCTGTGTCTCTTTCATGGGTGTTTTGTCATAGCAATGAAACATGGATTATACACCTCAGTGCACCTGGACCCCTCTTATCTTAGAACACACCAAGCTTCCACCAGAGCACTGGGCTCTAAACCCTGTTGTCTTTTCCCTAAGTCCCCTTGCATTGTCTGGTTTTGGTGTCCCTTAGGTGACTAACATCACAGGAGAGCAAGGCATGTGCCACTCTATTCCAGGGACAGCACATAGGAGGTCTCCACAGATGCTGGGTATATGGGTCGAAGGTCTAGTTCACTTCTCTCAAGTCCATAAACAAGACCTTTCTTAAGACATGAAACCAACAGCCAGGCGGTGATGTACACCTTCAATCCCAGCACTTGGGAGGGAGACAGGCTGATCTCTGTTGAATTCGAAGCCAGCATGGTCTACAGAGTGTGTTCCATAACAGCCAAGATTGTTTGAGTGATAAACCCTGTCTGAAAAAAAAAAACCAAAACAAAAAACCATAAAACAAACAGTATCTTCCCACATATCCTAGGCTGGCTTCAAACTCTCAGCCTCCTGTACCCCTTCCCTGTTTAAATTTTACAAGTGCTTATGTAACTTGTCTGGTATTAATTTTTTCCTTTTTTTTTATTTAATTTAAAAAAAATAATTCAAAAAACAAGTTTCCACCTCCTCCCAGCCTCCCATTTCCCTCCCCCTCCTCCCACCCTTCTCCCCCTCCTCCCACCCTTCTCCCCCTCCCCCCACTCCTCTCCCCCTCCCTCTCCAGTCTACAGAGCAGTCCGGGTTCCCTGCCCTGTGGTAAGTCCTAGGTCCTCCCCCTTCCGTCCATATTGGTATTAATTTTTGAAAGTAAAGAGTCTAAGTGTCTCTTAAGTCAGAACTAAGTAGTTTGTTGTCAAAGGCTCATGGCTGTCACTTTTTCTCCATCAGTGATGACAGACGAAGTTTTCCAAAGACTCAGAGAACCAAGAACCTTCTGACTTACCTGTTAGCCGAGTCAAACAGGATTTGCATCCAGTAACTGTTTTGGAAAAGAGGTGCCAAGCACCAAGACCCACTTATGAGCTGTCCACTCTGTCCTGTGGTCTTTGCAGGTCCCGAGGGCTGCTCAGGCAAGCACAATATGACCAGCTGAGGCCTTCTCACTCTAGGAAGTATTAGGAATGGAGACGAGGGCAGACTGTGGCTAAGATGTGTCTGCTGCTGGGTGACACCTGTAGCCCTCTGCTACCTGTCAGAGCTGGCATCAGGCTTTTTGTAGATTTCACAGAGGTTAAGACCCTTGACCCCACATGTCAGAGGACACAAGACATGTACACATTTCCCCAGTGATTGCAACTGTTCACTACAACCATTAGTATTCTCTGACAAGATGTCTCTACTGTTTTCCCAACTCCTCACGGTTTCCTATTTGTGTGCATGTGTGTGTGTGTGTCTGTGAACTCACACAAATCTTCATTAGTGTTGTGGTTACACGGTATGCTGGCGAGTTTTAAGTCAATTTGCCACAAGCTAAAGTCATCAGAGAGGAGGGAACCTCAATTAAGAACATGCCTCCCCATTGTAGTGCTGGCACACGCCTTTAGTCCCAGTATTTGGGAACCAGAGACAAGGATTTCTTTCATTTTGAGGCCATCCTGGTCTACAGAGAGTTCCAGGATGGCCAGGGCTACACAGAAACCCTGTCTTGAAACACCAAAAAATAAAATAAAATAAAAAGAAAAATGCCTCCATAAGTTTGGACTGCAGGGAAGCCTGTAAGGCATTTTCTCTCCCCCACACCTCAGACAGATTTCCTCTGTGTAGCCCCGGCTATCGTGGAACTTATTCTGTAGACCAGGCTTTCCTTGAACTCAGAGATTCGCCTGCCTCTGCCTCCCAATGGCTGGAAATAAAGGTGTGCACCACCACCCCCTGACCAGGCATTTTCTCTATTAGTGATTAATGGGGGATGGCTCAGGCCGTTGATAGTGCGGTCATCTCTAGGCAGGTGGCTCTGGGTTCTATAACAGAGCAGGCTGAGCAAGCCATGGGAAACAAACCAGTAAGCAGCTCCCTCCATGGTCTCTGCATCAGTTTTTGCCTCCAGGCTCCTGCCCTGCTCAAGTGTCCTGACTTTGAGGTTGAATGGTTCTGCCAGTATAAGACAAATAAACCGTATCATCCTTAAATTGCTTTTGGTCGTGGTGTTTTATCACAGCAATAGCAAACTTTTTATTTATTTTGTTTTTCAAGATCAGGTTTCTCCATGAAGCAACTCCTATCCTGGAACTCGCTTTGTAGACCACGATGGCCTAAACTCAGAGAGATCCTCCTGCCTCTGCATCCTGAGTGCTGGATTAAAGTCCTGCACCCCATGACCAGCTGAGCAATAGTTATCTTAACTAAAGTACATAGCATACACATGTGTATGCACATGATAGCCAGAGATAGACAGTCAGGTGCCTTCGGTTGCTCTCCAATGTATCAAGGTATATGTGGTGTGTGTGTGTGTGTGTTTGTGTGTGTGAATGTCAGAGGACAAATTTCAGGAGTTAGTTCTCTTCTCCAACCATGTGGGTTCTGAGATTTGAACCCAGGTCAGCAGGCTTAGCAGCAAGCACCTTTAATCACTGAGCTATCTCAACTGCCTCCCACCCTACTGTTTGAGACGAGGTCTGTTATTGAACCTGGAGCTCCCGTGGCATTGGTGGAGCCACCACACTCAGCTCTTTACAGCGTCCTGGGGATCTGAACTCACATCCTTAGGCTTGCATAATGAGCACTTGTCCACTGAGCCATCTCCTTAGTCACTCCATTTTTGTGTGTGGAGCAGTGGATTAACCTCAGCGCTTTGCACATGCTAAGAAACGCTCTACTACTGTGTTAGTGAATTTGTGACAAAACCCAGATAAGAAGCAGCTTTCTGCTTACAGTTTGAGGGATACAGTCCATGAAGGTGGGGCAGGCATGGTGGGGTAGGCTTGGAGCAGAAACTCGAAGTGATTGATCACATCTACAGTCAGGAAGTAGAGAGAAATGAAGGCCCAGCTTGATTTCTCCTTTCCACTCCATCCATGACACTAGTCCACGCTGGACACATAAAGTCAGACATCACTTATCTTAGCATAAACAGTCTCACACAGACAGCTTTGTTTCCATGGTGATTGTAACACAGTCAGGATGAGCATCAGATTAGCCATCACACACAGTAAGCCTCCTGTCTTCAAGAATGATTAACACGAACCCAGTTGACAATGTATTTGTGCCGCAAACGTCATTCTGAGGGTAGTAGGTTGAGTTGAACTTGAGAGAGTCCACACACACAGCACTGCCTGGGCCAGTCCACAGTGGCCTGTGGGGCTGTGGACAACAGAGAAATCATGATACATAGTTGAATTCCTCCCTCTACTGTGAGCTGCTGTAACCGCAATGACTCTACTGTTTAGACCTCTTTGAGGCCTGCTTACTGGTGGGCGTGAGACAGACAAGAGTAGGAAGACAGGAATGAGCGTCCGTGGCAGGGAGGGGAATTTGCAGCAAATGCAGCTGGTAGAACAAAATCATCACCGGCCCCTGAGGATCCAACATGACCAAACACACTGGGACTATCCTGGCTGGCAGTCACAAAAAGCCACAGATGGTTCCCTCATGCCCTCAGAGGTCTAGTCCAAAGGTTGCAGCAGCTAAGATGTCAAGTGTCCCCAGGCCCCTCAGATACACACACTTCTGCTCTGATCTTGAACTCAGGCAGATGCAGTGTTCTGGGAAGTTGGCTGCCTACAGTGACAGAAACCATCCTTGACCCCCGTGGTTTCCACCTCCAAGCTTGAGCAGGACATGCTTGGAGCCAGAAGAGGAAGCAGAGGTGAGATTGAACCAGGACAACAGAGCATTTGGCTCAGCATGTGACTGACTACAAAGGTCAGCTCTAACCATCTTCTGCCAAAGGTACAGCCACTTCTGTACATAAAGTGATCACACAGGATGTCTCTAGCCATTGGTTCTTCTGAGTGGGAGGAGCTCCTAAGCTCACTCCCCCATGCAAGTGGGAAGCGGATCCATAGGTGCCAGGTTCTTGCCCAAAGGTATTTGGAACTGCTCGGAGGCAGGGTCGGGCGTGAGGTGGGATGGGGGTGGGCAGGACTGGGCTCAGGAAGACAACAGTTTAGAAGGTAGCATGATCTGCTCTGAGAAGAGCATTTAGCACTCACTCTACACCATGAAGGGGACGCTGCTTCTGCTGGCCTTGCTGGTGACCGGGGAGCTGGGCTTCCAGACAAGTGAGAACGGGAACCGATGGCCTTTCTGACCCTTGCTCATTCCATCTCCTTCCTTATGGATCTGTTTGCAGATCTAGGGGTCCCTGGGAGGTCACTAGCCAGGAGTCCTCCAGAAGACCCTTGAAATATTCTCTTCAGGATTGTGACAGTTGGGATGGGCTGGATAGGGAGACAGGGGTGAGGTGTTGATTATGCACCCTTAGTTCCATATCCAGCTGAAGCTGAATCATATGTGGGATTTATGTGAAGGTCAGATGTGCAGGCAGGTACACTCATACATGCCTCTTCTGCTGTGTGTGTGTCTATGAAAACTGTGTGCTGTAGTATCTGGGAGGCGGTAGCCTTTGGGAGGGCTGGACTGTGTGGAAGGTCAGGTAGGAAATTTGTAGAAGATCAAAGAAACCCTGATGCTCCACTACCGCCAGCCTGGGACTCTGTTAATGATGTTCTTCTGTCTGTGTTTGCAGTGGAAGCATGCATTCCTTTCTTTGAAGCCTTTGCTGGAATCTCCATCGGAAACAAGAAAATATTGAATGCCGTCCTTGACAAGTTTGAGCCTACTGATGGGGAAAGGCTGGGTTTCGAAAAAATCATGGAATGCTTGAATGATGAAGGAGTGGAAGGCAAAATCCTGAAAACCAAATTCATGGTAACGTCCTCCCCACCCTGATCTCCCTGCAGCATATGGTAGAACTCTCTGTTCAAATGGTGCAGGCAGCCAGTAACATGTGTCAGGGAATGGACACCAGAGCACCGAATCCCTGCCCACCCTAGCACGTGTCCATGCAGCATGCTGGTCCACATCCAGTCTGTCTATGCAAGGTCCTGCAAAGCACTCTCCAACGATGGGTGACCACCACGTTCTCACCACAGCAGGGCAGGGGCACAGGAGAGTCCTTGGTGTGGATCTGCACAGGGAGGACACCCTCAGCTCTACTCTAAGGTGCCTGAAACTCCTGTCTACTGGCCAGGCTCACCTTCTCTGGAGCCTCCCTTAACTCTTCTCTCCTGTCTCAGATGGAGCCCCCCTTCCACCGGCTTCCTCAGAGCCACAGCCAGAACCTCCCTCCATGGCTTAGAAGCCACCACCATTCCCACCAGAGAGTGCTTGTGGCTACTCACCCCAGGCACTTTTGGCCTCTCTTAGTCTCTTATTTAAGCACAACTGGATTACAGAGATGCATGTTTAGAATATTGCATCCCTCACTCTCTGTTTCCAAAGTACTTTTAGTTTGGGTGTCAGGTCCTCCAAAACCACTGCACTCTCCAAGAAGGAATGTCTTCCGGCACATCCACACAGGGACATATTTCTAACCCCACCATACAGCCAATGTGCTGATGGATGTCCTCAGGTATAAGATATTATCGAAGCTAGAACTCAGCCATCTTGACCTTTTTCCAACCTAGCCCCCATCATGCCTTAGGGAACTTCTCCCTTCATCCCCGCCTGGCTAGGGTGGCTTTTCAGAGTCCTCGTGACAGCTGTGGAGGAGCTGCAGCTCCCTGGGGCAGAGTCTGTTGCTGGAGCCCTGAATCACTGCAGGGAATTTTCTTCCCTGTGCAGAGGAGCAGCCTCATCATGGGTGACTGGGGAGCCCTGCTGGGGTTCTGCAGTTTGCCTGTAACTACTTCTGCCCCTTTCTATCTTTGGGTTTTTCAGGATGCCATCATCTTCAGCCCAGAATGTAGAGAATACTATACCCAAGACATCAGCGACCAATTTCAGGGAATCCTTTCCAAAGTTTACTTATTTGGAAAATGATGACTGATCTGAGAATCACCTGGCTGCCCTGTTCACTTTCCATCCTGAAGCTGGAATCTCGAAACCTGTCCCCTCCTTGCTCAGTCTGTTAAGCTGGTTCAATAAACACCTGCAGCTCTGCTCTGGGTACCATGTCTGTGTGTAGTGCAGGCGTCAAGTGATGTCTTCAGATCTAGGAGACAGAGAAAGGAGTCGGGTAGACACTCAGAGCAGGGCGACTGCCACTGACTGACTAGGTATCATGGGAAAGCCATTGCAGCCTTTTTTGTTGCTCTGTAGACCAGGCTGGCCGCAAACTCACAGACATCCACCCATCTCTGCCTCCCAAGTGCTGGGGTTAAAAGCATTGGCCCCCACCACCCAAGGCTCAGCACAGCTTTGTGAGTCTGTAAGACAGGAACTGTCTGAGGACAAAGAGCATGGAAGCAGCCACAGGTTTCATCTCAGGCTGTCAGGATAGAAACGAGGTGCATAACTCCTCACCTCATATGTTGCCTCTGGGGTTCATCACAGGGCAGCTGGCTCCTTATAGGTCAGTCTATAACAGTGCCGTGACTCTGAAGATGACTGGGGAGACTCTCCTGGTCTGCAAGAAAGGTCATCATTTGCCATAGCCCGATATACATAGAAAGTTCCAGGACAGCCAGGACTTCATAGAGAGACCCTGCCTCAAAAATAAAAACAAAAGTTAATAATAAACCAAAAATTCAAATGGGGAAAACTATTAGAGTAGAAGCTCAACTAAGGAGAAGAGAGAAGGTCTGGGAAGAAGGTTCAATGGGTAGAGTGCTTCTGTGCTTTACTGGTGACATGAGTTCGAATCCCAGAACCCATCTAAGGCCAGACTTGGCAGCATATATCTGTAATTCAGTGCTCTTGTTGAGAGATGAGAGGAGACAGGTGAATACAAAGAAGTCTGTCTGGAATCCAGACAGCAACAGAGACCTGTCTTAGACAAGGTAGGTGAGGAATGACACCTGAGTAAAATCCGTCAGTGAACACTGGGATGGGCAGTAAGGAGAGAGTGATTATAAAGGGAGAAGGGGCTGGAGAGATGGCTCAGTGGATAGGAGCACTGGCTGATTTTCCAGAAGGTCTGAGTTCAATTCCCAGTAACCTCTTGGTGACACATAGCCATCTTTAACGGAATCTGATGCTCTCTTCTGGTATGCAGGTGTACATGCACACAGAGCACTAGTATATCTTTAAAATTAATAAATTAATTAAAATAATAAAACAAGAGCTATAAAGTGGGAGGAAGGAACATTAGGAGCAATGAAGACACTCAACACTGTGACTACAGTGATGAGTTCATATAACCTACCATATTTTATACTTTAACTACGCACAGCACAGGGCACGTCAATTCACCCTCAATAGAGCTTTAATAAAAGGAATGGTGCAGTACAAATGGAATGGTTGGTGAAAAGCACAAAAATAGAGATTTCCTCTTTACTGAAAATCCAGAAATTTTGGCAAATATACACTGGTCTCACCCTCTTTGGGAGAGAGGTTTACTTTGAAGGACACAGAACATCATGGGCAATAGAGATTGGCTTTGAGTCCCAGGTCACACACATGGACTTGTATTTCTTTCCTTTCTCCTCATTCTGGCCCACGTTTCCAGGGAATCCAGCAACATTTGAATATCTGCCATTGCTCTGAGTATCAAGAGAGAAACAACCAGGGAAGGTCTGAGACTGTGTGTGCACCCTCACCTCTCACAGTGACAGTGAGCAGAACATTCCAGAAGCACACTTAGATGCTGACATTCTTGGATTTACTGCCCTCCATGTTTACTAATCAAACCCAGGGAATGGATGTATTTGTGGCAGACTGTAATAGGCCTACTCCTTGCCTGCTATCCTCCAGGGATAACACATGAGGTTGTACAAGCCAGGGTTCTCTAAGCACTGAATAACCTGATTCATCCTGACTTTTCCACATCTGCTGCAGGAATATGGGCTGTTCCCAGGGTGGAACTGTTCATGCTGAACAAGGTATTATCTTTGGCTGAAGGTTTTCCCACATTCATGACACGCAGAGAGCCTTTCTCCAGTGTGAGCTTTCTTATCCCTGACTGTAGTAATAGGAGCGGCAGGCTATGTTCCTGGCACCCGGCTGCCCGCACGGCTAGCTTTATACCCTAAAATAATTACACGGAAACTGTATTCTTTTAAACACTGCTTGGCCCATTGTTCCAGCCTCTTATTGGCTAGCTCTTACATATTGATCTAACCCACTTCTAATATTCTGTGTAGCACCACGAGCTGGCTTACCAGGAAAGATCTTAACCTGTATCTGTCTGGAGTGGGAGAATCATGGCGACTGCCTGACTTGGCTTCTTTCTCCCAGCATTCTGTTCTGTTTACTCTACCCACCTAAGGGTTGGCCTATCAAATGGGCCAAGGCAGTTTCTTTATTAATTAACCAATGAAAGCAACAGATTAGAAAGAAATCACTCCCACATCACCTGACACGATGGGACCATTTGATGAACGTTTCTCACATTCAGGGCACTTATAGGGCCGTTCTGCAGTCTGGATATGCTGGTCCTTGGGAAGCATTTTTGTGGCTGAATGTTCCCCGCATTCCCTGCATCTGCAATGTCCACCTCCACTGAGGGGCCCCCAGCATCCAGAGCTTATGGGTAAGCTCCTTCTGGTCTCATGCTGGAGAAGGCCTGAGTTTTCCCTACCGTCTTCACATATCTAAGGGGTTTCTGCACTGGAGACTGTGTGGTTCTTACACAGGGATCCTTGTCCTCGTCGTCACTGAAACCTTTCCTTCCACTGTGCTGGTGTTGGGAGGTGCTTACCCTGAAGGAGAATTGCCTTCCCCATGTCCACACGTATGCAGTTTGTGGGGAATGTAACCCTGCTGTTCAGCCTACAGAACAAGATGTTTCATGACTATGCCACATATCCCACAGGGTAGATTTTCTGGAAGACTGAATCAGCTGTGGTAACCTTGACTTTTGATCCTCTTTGAAAATATGCCTCAGTCTCCACTTGAAATCAGAAAAATCTTATCAATAAAAACCACAAATCAGATATCATGGTAAAAACCTGAAAGACCAGAGAAGCAAAGGAACAGCACCAGTGACTTCCTACCTCTTCCATTCCTGCAACCAACAAGGCTGAGATCCTGTCTCTGCCCCACCTGCTCACTTCCCATTTCCTTCCTGTACAGACCTCCAGACCTCTATGATTAACTAGTGAGTAGTTCCAACCTCTGACTCCAAGCAAGGTTTATTTGTCAGAACACAAAATATCACACATCATTTACTCAATTTTGTCTAAGTAAAAATCAAAAGTTTTAAGTAACATATAAAAAGTATATGCAGTTAGTACAATAACAATAAAGAAATATATAAGGCAGTAATTGTATTAACAATGTCTAGTCCATTAGCATTTGACAAATTCAGAGAAAATACTCCATTATCTACCCTATCTTGGTAAGTCCAAAGTGTTGTACCTAATATACTTTCTATCATAACTTGTATTACCAATCCAAAACTATCAATTTTTGTTCGGAATCTCATACATTTTACCCATTTTTTGTGAGAATTTTTTCTGAGTTTGGTAACAATGAAAATCAGAATAACTGTGCAGGCTTCAACTCCCTGAGAAAGATATAAATTACCTGAGTAAACAGGAAGGGCAGAGCAAAGAACTTCACAAAACTAAGACATGACAGAAACAGCTGGCTGCCTGGACAGTCCCCCAAGGTTTCTCTGCAACCTTGGGGCTTCCAACTCTTGCCTACAGGTCTAGCATATCTGACAGACTTCTCTGTGAAGCAGGATTTTTGAAGAACTGCCCCCACCTCATCTTGGCAAAGTTCAGCTGTCATTTTCTTTTGTTTCCTGCTTGTTCAATTTGGACAGTATACTGGCAGCAGTTGAGGAAAGGGCAGTATCTTGACCAGTGGCTAGCTTTGCCACAAAAAAGTAAACATCATGTGGAGTTTCTTTGTTGCTAACCATCTTCTCTGAAGTAGATTGGTGCTGACAGCAGAAACATGTTTCATTGTCTTAAAAAAAACCTTATATAATTAAAACATCTTAAATGCCATATTCTGTAAATCTATGAAGTGTTTGAAGATGGCCTGTCTATCTAAAATATATCATTTGATCTTGATAACATACCTAACATGACTACAAATTTGAATGTCATAGGTGACTGACTATTAACGTGCATTTTTATATTATCCTAAATAGCTTGTAATAATAACTTTTAAGAAATTTACATGTTTAAATGAGCTATATAGGTACAATTATTGAACAACAGTAGAAAACTATATACAGTATGTTCTAACAAAAATAACCTTAAATTTGTATTAATATAAAAATATCTTAAGAGTAGAAACATATATACAGTATTACAAAAATAAACTCAAATTTTACAAAAATGAATTCAAATATATAAAAATTCAAACCAAATGTAAACTATTTAAAAGTAGTAGTTACAATTTTTGGTTTAAAAGTAGATTTAATAATCTTCCCTTTTATCCTATTTCTACATCCCACCTTTTTCTTTTTAGAATGAGATCCCTGAATCTAATCTCCTTTGTTCAGCATTTTTCCTGATCATTATCAATAACAATATCAATAACGATCCCTCTAAATGATGACAAATATCCATAACCTACAGAATGACCAAAACCCAACCACTGCACCTCTTAGGAATGTGGGTGTCATGTTCTTAAAATTACTTCCTGTTGTCCGGGGTTGATGGCATCTCTTGGGGACCCTGAAAAAAACTGGGATAATTGTCATGTCTTGGGAGAGCTAGCTGTATCATTTGTTGTTCAGTCTCCTTGTAATGGGAAAATGCAGGGCTTACTTCAAGTCCTGACTACAGTAGTCTGTAAGGCTGGACCAACTCAGCTAGCCACCTTGAAACTGTCCTGAGCAGTTTGGAGTTCTAAACCAACCTTTGGGTGTTTGTCAGCTCAGTGGAATTATGATAATCTAGGCATAATCATCGTTGTGGGCCCCATCCTCCTTTTGGAGTCTTCGAATGTCACTGATGGGCATGGTCAAGGGTGACTGCAGAACTTGAACATTCTAATGTCACATGTAGCAGATCTCTTAGAGGTTAAAGAGCCATAATTTGTTATGTACATCCAGAGTGTAAAAACTTAATTCCTAGCTACCTGATGGAGACTCCAACCTGAAATCATGTACAGGAAGGTAGAGGAAACCTTTTTCTAGAATTAGTATTCTGGAAGACCATTAATATCATGACAAAGTGAAAAATACAGATATTGAACTTTATACATTTTTTTTTTTTTGGTTTTTCGAGTCAGGGTTTCTCTGTGGTTTTGGAGCCTGTCCTGGAACTAGCTCTTGTAGACCAGGCTGGTCTCGAACTCACAGAGATCCGCCTGCCTCTGCCTCCCGAGTGCTGGGATTAAAGGCGTGCGCCACCACCGCCCGGCGAACTTTATACATTTTGAGATAATATTTATACTTTAAGAAACATGTTAAAGAGTAAAAATAAAACAAAGGATTATGAGAATATTGGCAAAGAACAGTCCCTTAATTTTGGTTTTTCTTCCATTTCATATCAGGTAAATCTT